TTATTGTTATCAATGCCAGTAAATATTTTTTAGAAGTTCAAAGGTCAATAAACAATAAAATGAACTAAATTTTCTTGAGAAACAAAAACAAATCAGTACAGAAACATAATTTTATGAAACTAAGAAATACCCGAATGAAAAAATTACCTCAGAATAGTGAAAAATACCCAAATTTCGGGGTTCCATCACCTTTTACCAACCCAAAGTTCAAAACTCACGAAAAGAATCAGTGCTTGCTTCCTAATATTCACCTCTCCCACACCGACCCAGGAGCGGCCAGGCAGCCATGGCAGACTACGAAGTGCCAGACCCCCCGCCACCCCCTGGCTCTCCACCTTCTCTCCGCCGACTCCTTGCTCTTCCTCACGAGGTATGTCTTTGAACCTCTAATTTAACCAACTTCTGCTGCATTTTAGCCCCTTATTTTGAAATCTCTTTATTGAAAATTGGTAGTCATCTTGCAGAATGTGTGGAGGAGGATCACTGACAAAGACTGCAGAAGTTTGTTTGGGATCATCTTCTCAAAAACGCTATGAGTAATTAGGTTTGATTTTCTCAGAAATTTCTTTGAGGTTTAGGGTTTTGATTTTTCGTTTTCGATTTCGTTTATTAAAAGGAAATCAATTTGGGAAATTAGGTTTGGTTACTAATCTGGTGAAAAGGGGAATGGAGAGAAATTAGGCATACCATGGGACCTAGATGACGTGGAAAGTAAAAAGGAGAGGAACTCATAGGAAATGGTGTGAAAAAATGCACAAATGGTACACACCTAAGTCTCCGGGTGTAAGGAAATGTCATCTCATTATAAGGTAAATGGATTTTTTAACGGTGGTTACGTCAGAGCAGTTAAATAATAAGGTATTTGTATTAATTGATAACTTGAGTTGTGATTTGTCCATGGATTTTTTTGAGGCTGGATTTGCCCCCGCCACCTTATTTGGAGGGCAAATTTGAGGGTTCTGGCTTTGGGGATTTGGCTTCTGCATTTTTTAAGGTTTAGGGTGGATTAGAATTGAAGGTAGAGTAGTGACCCTGAAATTGTCCTTCACAGGTTTGGTTATTGAATTTGAAAGCTGCCCCTTCGTTTTCCAGCCTTGCCTTCCTCCTAGGAATCAGAAGTCTCACTTTCTGATTGATAAAGAAGGAAAAGAAAGCAAAATTGTAAAAGAAATTGAAAACCTTTAGCCGTTTTTAGATATTTTGAAATCCAGAAATGAGTGCAATCAATGGCGTTAATTTGAGGCAAGTCTTGCCTGTATGTGGTAGCCTCTGTTAGTTTTGCAGAAATGAGTGCAAAGATAATAGCCTTTGTTGAAATGTGAAAAAGAAAGGAAATTTTGAAGACTTTTTTATTTAATTTATTTGTTCAATGTGATATTACTTGGGTTTATTATGTTGTTCCTTTGGAATTTGATTCTGGAGTTGTATTTTACAGTTTAGTTAAGAAGCATGGCTGTTTGGAGTTGTATTGGTTCTTTTTTCCTTTTCTTATTGTTTATGCTCTTAAGTCAATTTCATGGTTTGGATGATGGGAATTTGAAAACAAGCATGGTAACCTCATCTTTTACTGGTATATATTTGATTTACCTAAATATTGAACGATCACTAAGGAATCTAGGCTTTTCCTGCACCTGGAGGTAATATTTGATTTATCTTTGATAATCATGTGAGTTAAGTATTATTTTTTTTTCCCAGAAGAAAGAGTTTAGTAGATTATTAGTTAATTTGACAAGTAGTTCGTACTTGGCAAATAAAGCTCTCAGTCATGCAGTGCAGATTTAGCGTCTTTTCGTTTGTCCCAAAATTCTGCCATTGTTTCATCCAATCATCTAAAAATTTAAGAGAAAAGTGTGTAGTTGGAGGGACAATGTGGAATGTTTACATGTTGAAGAAAGTTGAGTTTTGAGGTTGTTCACTTGAAAATGATTAAATGAAATTGAGAGGGATAAATCTGAAAGAGGCAAAATTGCTGACAAATTGCTGTTTTTCCAGAACTTCGGGGTGACGATCGCTCACTGGTTGACCTTCATTTCTCAAAGCCTGACAATATTGAATTGCTATTTTTACGTCATTTTTGTAAGTTTTGATTTGGTTTTCCTGTTGTTAGTTGAAACTCCTAATTGAAATTGCTTTTATATCATGCAGTTCTGGAGCATCAGATAATATGTACTTTTCACTAAGTTTATATGTTATAATGATTGATAGTTAAA